AAATTCCGACAGGAGACATAGGAATCTTGCAAAATGCCGACATGGCTGGTGGCGAATTTCAGACAGGGGACATGGGTACCCCCCCTAACAGGGCCTCAAACTTATTCATTCATATACTGGAGACTCTTTGAAAGCAAGAATTCCCAAGAGTATCATCACATGGTCTGAAACAGGGCATCAAACCGCCCAAGCCTAAAAGGTATGTTAACCTCTCATTCCAAAGAGCTGCCAAAATCTAACATGGCGATAACTACCATGGAGAACATGTCCGTTTTGGCGAAATTCGTTTCATGTGTATCTCAATTAACGAGAAATGAAATACGCGGAATTCAGGGGAAAATGCTCTGGTAAATGTCAAGCTTGACTCAGAATATCGTCCCACTCATCTTTCTGTAATAATTGTGCTTTTTACTCTTCTCCTTATCCGAAAATGCTAAAAACAATTGACAGAGAAGACCCACCGTACGCCCAAACGTCGGACGAATACGTTCCAATGCTCTGACTGGCTTCAGGAGCTGGAATAGGAACCTTGTTGTTGTAGACTTCATCAGATAGTGGTCTTTTACACCAAGGAGACCTGCATATGCCAAAAGCGGTGTTAGGTTATTTTTGCTGACTTCTCTTTAGTTATATACATATATTTTAAAACGCGCGAACAGTTAACAAAATAATAGGGAAGCAGACAAACCAGCATACTTATCTTACAAAATTCGCCTTTCTTAACAAATTTTTTTGAAAAACTTGAAACATTCTTAATTACTACACCAGTAATGTTTAAAGATAACTATTAGAACAAATGTTTAGAAGTTTTGCCAGTGAACAAATTGCGATCTCCATGACGTCAATATTAGTTGCCATGGCAACACTAAACGAGTATAAACAGTAACCTATCATGAAAGGGTTTATAACTGCCGGTTTACCGTCCCCTGACAAAATATTTTGGAATTCGTTTCAAAAACTACGTCGAAGAGCCACTGGGAAATATAATTTCCCACAAGTCGATGAATCAAAATTCTGAATAAATAAAAACTTTAACCAAGATGTCGACGTCACTGACGTCTGAAGAGCTTTGGCGCTAACCATGTTTCATATTAGGGTAAATTTTCTTCATCAACAACATCGTGCAAACTGTATAATAGAATGGCCAAAGGAGGAAGACCAAAGTCCTGTGAACCATTTTAAACGATATTTAGAATTGGCATTTATTCTGCTTTCTTTAAGATTATTATGAACCTCACCTTGCACAGTGAAAACCAGAGATCTTTATTATTCCTTTGTCTCCTACAAGACAGTTCTTGGGCACCTAAATAAGTACAATAATTTAAATAAGTTTTAAAAAGCGACATCGTGACCGTGCATGCCACCTGGGTGTTCGGTAAAACCATTTTCGTGAAGCAAGTACTTGATAAAATAAACAACAACAACAAAAAACTTTATTCGCTTTTTTGCATGTTTTATTAAAAAATGTAACGCTATTTTCGGTCCTGTTATGATGCCATCTTTGAAGACCAAAGCTCTTAATTAATGAACCAGCAGCTTACCGTAGACAACCTTTTGTACTTACCAATTCTCCGTGCACCACCCGACACTCGTGGAGATATACCATGCCATTGATCACGTGGTTCATGATATTTCCTAACTCAGTAGGATAGGATTGAAGCAGGGAAGAGTTTCTCATGAGGTATTCTGACAAGTTGCCTGTATTTGAGAAGAAGTTCATTAGTAGATTTAACTCACCAATCGTGGTTGAAAAGCTTCAGAGGGTCTTTTCAATACCTATCAATGGAGGTGACTTGTTTGAATGCATTCCGAGTTTTTTTGCTTATTATTATTTTTTTTATACTAGTGCGTCTGTTAAAACAGCTGTCGCGATAGAATCTTCATCCATTTGTTTTGGTTGATGCACCCGTTCATCACAAGTGCACTAAGACAGTTTCACGAGGACCATTTTGCACGGTTGCCTTTTCATTTGCAGGGTACCGTAGACCCTCGGCATAAATGGCGTCTAAATATGAATAACAATTTATTATAGTTTATACATCCTTAGCCTCGTATTTATTTTTCAAGACAAAGGATTTTTTTACATGAATGTGAGGCTAAGGGTGTATAAGTATTGTTATTCGAATATAGGCGCCATTTATGCAAAGGGTCTATTTATAGGGTTAAATCAACCAAGACGGACTAGTATTTAAGCAAAATATTACTTTTTCCGTGTTTACATAGCCTCATCTAAACTGATACGAGAGAGAGAATTTGAGACAGTAATTCAAACCCGAGACGCAGTCGAGAGTTTGCATTACTGTCTCAAATTCTCTCTCTCGTATCAGTTTAAATGCAAACCCGAGACGCAGTCGAGAGTTTGCATTACTGTCTCAAATTCTCTCTCTCGTATCACTTTAAATGCAAACCCGAGACGTAGTTGAGAGTTTGCATAACTTTCGAGAATTCTCTCAACTTCATAAGTGTTTGAGATCAGACTATGTTAACACTTTAAAAGTACTTCACTGCTTTTATAAAATATTTCTCAAGAGTACACGCGAATCTAAAACGTCACAACCGTGTTCACATACTATCATCTAATCACACCTATCGACCAATGACCGCGCGCGTATTATCTCAGTTATTTTATCACAACGGTTGGTTTGCACGACGTAATGATATTTGACTGACGCGAGAAACGGTTCCCTTGCAAACAAGTAAGCAATGAGTTCTTATCAGGGTGAAAATATCCGATTTACAAAATTTTGACAAAAGGAATTTATTTCCTTTTAGTAAAAACACTCTGATTGATAAATACACGGTCAAAGAGGACTTGAGTTACTTCTATTTGCCTTCATATATGCTGTACATAGAATCCTCACATTAGTAAAAAGCGAGAAATTAACAAAACAATATTACCGTTAGACAGATTTTCTTGAACCATGAAGTTGCGAGGTCCCTTGATACCAACCCCATGCAGTTTTACTACGTTGTCGTGGTTAAGGGTCCTGCGGAAGAAACGAAAAAGAAGATTACGAAAACCGCTAGCCCAAAATAAGAACGTTTGATAGCAGGTTAAAAACCGCAAGCTTATCCAAAAGAATACCCATAGCTGAAACGATGTCTTCATTGACCCTTATTTATTGCTGAAATTATTAGCGTTAATAACTGCCTGCCTCTATTTAAACGATCACTTGTTTACTCACATCATCAATCTTGCCTGATTGCTGAACTTTTCCTTTAATATATCAGAGCTTCCTTCCGGTAGAGCTTGTATCAATGCGTCCTTGTTGTGAAACTTGCCGTAATTAACACTCTGAGGAGAAAGTTCATTGTACTGTCGTCCAAAATTCTGTTTTCAGCCTTCCATAGCCTTTGAGGCCTCGGCAAGCGAGTAGGGTTGGCACTGGAACTGCTTTTGTTTGTTTGTTTGTTTGTTTGTTTGTTTGTTTTGTTTTGTTTTGTTTTGTTTTCTTTCTTTCTCTTCCGTTTGTGTTTGTTGGTGGTTCTATCATGTCAGTTATGTATATGTTGACTGGACAGGAAAACTATCGCGCACTCTGATGACAAGTAGAGTGTGAAATGGCCTACTCTAAAAACATGAGCGATAAAAATGGCTAGAAACGCATAACATGACGTCACAAGACATGACATAAAATGACATATCATGCATGACATGACATGACATGACATGACGTGGCGTGACGTGACGTGACGTGAAATGACATAAAATGAAATGACATGTCAGAAATATTCTCAGCTATAGAAAGCAAAGAAATTTTTCCTCAATGGCAGCACGTATATTGAAACTGAAAAGTTGTCATTGCTGTCACGATCACACATAATGTGTACTTCATTATGCTTACCCATGGTAGGTTCAAGTCGCACTCCTCTCTTGTTTCAATTTCTCCCCAGTCCACCTTCCAGATTTCTAAGCAAAAAAACACCCCTAGATTAATACCGGCACATAAAAGGATGGTAAAATAATTCGAAAATAATAATGGTAATCAACGTTATGCATTTCAAGGAAATGGTCAATATTAATGTGTTATATAAGTGATAAATTTAAGCAAGACCAATAAAATAATGCATGGGTCTGCATAGACTCGTAAGGTTAGTTAACAAACACAAAGCTAGTGTTTGCGATCTGGTGCCTGAAGTAGTGTTAAAATTAAGACTCAACACTCCTTGTCACTCTTTGCTCAGTTACGCTCTAATTTTGACCACTCTCCCTCGAGCTGGCAATAATTACCATCGGCATTCTTGATGGTGGGGTACTTTTCCAGAGTTATTCCTAGAGCTGCAATGAAACAAAATCAAAATATTCTCTGTTACATAGAGTTCACTATATGCTGTACATTTATTGCCACCCCAATGCAAATAAAGTGCATTAATTAATTATCACTTTTGTCAAGATTTCCATTGAGACGTCGTGACTGCTTTACTGCTAATCTCAATCAATAGAGCGTTTTTACTCAGGCGACCAGCGGCCATACAAATTTATTGGAACAAAAGAGAGTGTTGAAAATGGTTTAGGACAGCATGGCCGCCGTTTCATTGTTTTGGGACACCAATATGGCTGGCATGACGTCAAGCGAAAACACTCTATTGGTTAAGTCGACTGGCTACAAACTCGTTCCCGGGGCCTCTCTTCTTGTTCCGCTGAGAGATCCTGGGAATGAAGTTGGATTGGCTCTTAGTGGTCGGGTTTCTGTTAGCTGCGAAAGTCGTCTTCTGATGTATGACAAATTGTATCACAAAATGCTACGTGTCCTGTTAGATTTAAATCTATCACTATTTGCCAATCATAAGCAAGGACTGTCCCAATCTTACTTGCATGCTGCTTGCATTGGTCCAGCAGCTGTTGTATACTATCAAACTGCAGAAAATTCGCGTAGGACACTGCGTCAGACTCGTCCTTCACGCGATACTTCTGAGTTGTTTCGTCGAGAAGAACCTCAATATGCTTCACTGTTCTGTCCGTTCTGAAACGTAACAAGATGAAAATTATTCCGTCGACGTAGAAAACCGAAAAAAATCAAAAAAGAAAAAAAGAGGGTGACAAAAATGGCATTGAGACACATAGGGTGGGATTTTAGCAGCACTGATCTCTTGATATCCCAATTCTTACGTTGTTAGTATGTGACTATAAAAAGTGTGGAATCGTTTAACACGCCTGTCAGAATAAGATCACTTTCTACCACGAATTCAGTTGAAAATCAGCTCAGATACAACTTTTGAAGGCCCTCGACAATGACCGAAAAGATTTTGCAATGCTAAATTTCAAGTTTCAATAAGTGCTCCCAGCTATCCGACATAAGCGGTGAAAAGTATCAGTCGTGTCAGTTCATTTTCGAACATTATCCTAATCCTGACTGGGATTTCCAAAACCCGGGAATGATCTAAAAATAACTCGACAGAAATTACGTTAGGAAATGAGGGCTATGCGAGGGATTATCGCTGTTACCCTCGATCTTCTCCTACGCTATCGCAAGCACTCTTGTTATTAAGTAGTTATTATTAATACTACTAACCTAAAAGATAGAATAGTTCTAGTCCCCAGTCCACTTGTTCTTAAGATGAAACATCCTGGAACCTAGTCAACAACAATATTTTATTTATATTCTATTTGAGTGGAGAAACAGACCAACATTTCCCAATATGGACCGAACAGGCTTGTTCAATAAAGTATTTGTTATAATAGCTGTTTTAAAACTCTGCTTATAAATTACTGCGTCCACGCGATCCAATCTTGGTAAAAGCATGCGCAAAAGTTAGGCATTTATTTCATTGCGTTTTTCAGAGCGCTTTCGAGAAATTTAAACTCAAATTGTCCACCAAATATGACGGAAAAACATGCTAGCTCGAGCAGTACTGGGAAATATTGGCTGACGGTCGTTTTTGGATGGACCTCGCTGCGCTCCGTCCGTACTGTAACGACCACGGGCCAATATTTCCCAGTACGGCCCTCGCGCTCAATTAGTAAGCAGTTATTAGTAAATTGAAATTTGATACTACACCTGGTCTCTTAAAATGGCTGCAGTGATAGAATTGGAAATCTCATCAAAAAACCATCTGTATAGTGAACAAAACATTGTGGTAAATTAAAGTACGAACAAAGTACAAAAAAGGCCAAACTTAGCAGGCTTAATAGCCCAGTGAGCAATAGCAATCATATGCCCGCTAATGAGTTACTATGCTATGAATTCACCTAATGGTTTAGAAGAGTACCTGCATCAACCTTATTCCCAGAAAGAAGACCCTGGAAACGAGGTTACACGCGCAAGTAGTCATGTCGGTAAAATCTTATTTTATCATTACGACGGGCTAAACTGCGCCTCTTTGCGCACTCCATCACTATTGAGGCGACACTTTTGGCTAATGAGGTTATACTATAGACATGGGATGCAAGAAGACAAATTAAGAACATTCTACGGAGCGAAAAGTAGCACTCTTAACATATGGTGTTCTTCCCGGCTTTTCGTGACCAACAAGAAAGAGCGCACCAAGATTTGAAAGCCGCCGCTTTAAGATATCTTCACAATTCATTTAAATTCCGTTTTGTGTTCGTTTTAGTACTTGTCATTATGCTTGTCAAAAGGCGAGTGGCTGGCAATGCAAATTCTATACACGTAATTGTATGTACTGTCACTGTCTCGGTCAAGCAAACAGTTTGTTAATAAACTTCTCTGGCGTGCTCTCATCGATCTCTTGGTAGATTTACTCGGTCGCGGGCCAGGCAGAAAATCCCGCACATGATCCCCAGCATTTTGCGCCGCTGCCATCGGAATCGTACATCTCAAACTCCCAGCAATTAGTCTGAGAGACTCGAGATGTGATAGAGAATCTCATACTTACGGTTCTTCTTCGAGGTCTTTGAGCTTCACAAGATCTTTTGGAATGTATCCATATCCGCTAGTCCTGAAACATTATATCAAGACCAAATAGTGAGATCCAGTAAATGGACGTGGACCATGGTTTCCTGATTTTTCTAAACCGTCGACGCTGCGCACATTTCTTTTGCCAGCTGATTAAGAAATAGTAACTTTTCCTTTTTTTTTTTCTTCGAGCAAAAAAATGTAGAAATGCTTTATGAATGTTGCATAGACAGTCATTGTGTGGGTAGCTACGTAACGAGTGGAGCCAAACAACAATTGCAATGAAGAGCAGGAAAAGGAGGGTGACTTACGATGTGGTCGAAAATGCTTTCCACTCGTTGTTACCAGAGGCATCAGAAACAGTTAAGTGATCACCCTAAAATCACGATCCGACGAAAAAATAAGTCACCATTAAATAAACAAGCAAACATAATAAAGAACTAAAACGATAAATTGCCCTTTTTATTATACTGAGAAAATTGCTTTATTGTGATTGGCTGAGAGTACGCAAACTTATCATTGATTTTGAATTTGTATCCGGGGGGACAAACGCCAACATGTTAGATGAAATTCAGCTGGTTTAGCTTTATTTGAATTCGTGCGTCATGAAGCAAAGACAAAATGACATATCATCAGTTTTCAATGCCGCATCGCGTCCACTGCTCTTGAAATCTTTCCACGCTACAACACATTCTTGTGCCACTATTCGCTTCGTTTGTGCACCAACACTTCACGTCCCCGCAAGATTTCCCCCAGTGTACTGTATGCCGACCTTAAAGGGTTGTGCAATTCTGAGAGAATTGTCGAATATCTGCTCTTGGAGTAAATCCTTACTCGTACTATTACCGAGCCAAACATCACTGCCATTAACATTGTTATTTTGATGCAACAAATAAAAAAAAAAAAACTAAGACAAAAACAATAACAAAATCATGTGTCACAAAAAGACCTGTCATCAATCAATGTTCGGTTGTTTAATACGTTAACTGTGGGTCGTGAGCAAACTTTGTCAGCTACAGAACATTACAGAGACATAAAAAATGCTAGCCAGTGGCTCTCTTGTTAAATTATTGTAATTAATCCTTACGGCACTGAAGGGAAGACTTCCAGGCATATCTGAGTAATGAGACTCCTGGGCGATCACTCCAAAACCATGGAAAGCAATTGCTAGAGACAACTAGGAATACAAAAAAGATGCACAAAATAACAAATTATTTAAACGATTTTTCATATTAGTGCGAACATAATTTATCGTTTAACTATCACAACACAGTCGAATTGTTCGTGACTGTTTGTCTTCAAATTGAGTAACTTAGTTATCTTGTAATACCTTTTGCCGCTTGACGTCTGGAATTCCTAAGCAGAAAAAAGCGGAAAAAACAGAATTCAGGAAAGCAATACTCCGTTTAGAGAAGTAATTTCCGTAATCAGACTCTCTACTGGTTCAGGGCCCTAGTCAGCCACACCTTTGTTTTTGTTTACATGCGAGAGTTTGGGTATTATATTGTATTCGGAGCATGTCGAAACGACGAAAATCACTGTGAAACTACTAAAGATAATTAAACATGCTTTCAGGAACACATCTTACTGAGTAAAGCAAAAAGACTTCACTTCACCATGCAATATCAATCATTTCGATGGCATCGAAAATGGCAGAGGCTGACTAGGATCCTCTAAGTTGAAAAACTTGTTAGTCGCTTAAATGGAATCAAGACCGAAGATCAAGGCACTTACCCTGATCTTCTCTTCTTGGAAGGTAATGTTGCAAACCTTTCATCGTATGTTCAAAAATTCTTCAACTAATCCAGTGGGAAACTGGTAATGAAAACGCTGAGACTAGATCGAATTGTTTGTTTGTTTGTTTTGTTTTGTTTTGTTTTCGTCTCGTTTAGTTCTGGTTTGAGCTGGCGGTACTGCGGCTATGCCGGTGCTGGGATAATACTAACTTAACTTGTAATTGTTTGTTACAGTGTTGTTGTCGTTGGTGGTGGTGCTGATTTGAATATAAATGCTGCTAGCTCTGCTACCGGAGGCTGCTCTTCTCGTCTTGTTCCAGTATTGAGTGCATCTGTCCTTACCAATTTCGCTTAGGCAGCAACTTTCGTAATTCGTTCTCATCATCAAGGCTTGTCTTCGCGAGCGAAGATCATGAAGGGGGAGTGATCCACGTCGACTGCAGGCACTCTCGTGCATGGTTAGCGAGGCTAATGCGTCTAGTGCTCTGGGAAGTACACTATTAAACTTTCTAGGAAAATAAAATCATTGCTTACCGTAAATTGTACTTGGCTTGCATCCTGGCGAGCTTCGGAACGTTGCCGCCTTGCAGCAAGACCATCCTTTGCCGGTAAAGCGACCCGAGTGGTACTGGGTCAGACTCACTGGATTGTCCACACAAGCTAAAAATTGACATTTCGATCAGCAAGGCTACTGACGATTGTTTTCGTTACAAATGCATTGCTTCAACGATCAGAAGCTTCTCTATGACTTGCTCAAAATCACCCTAACTCCTGGGGGGGGGGGGAGGGGGAGGGGGGGGGGGGAGGTGCTCTACAAAGTTTTATACTGGGAGGTGCCGCCCCGAGGTTCAACCCGTTTCCCTTTCGTATACCACTTTGACAGAAAAGGTATCCATTTGGTATACCTCTTAGAGAAGAAAGGTACCTCTTTCACATACCTACTTAAGAACTACCACGAAAGAACATCAAGCACTACCAGAAGAGAAGTTTAACCAGAAAACAAGTGTCATCTATTCACTCCGTTCATGTTACATCTAAATGATAGATTTCCCTAGCTACTCTTTCATATACCTCAACTTAATATCCCTATCCTTTTATATCCCTACAGCCTGAAAAAGTCAGCCCTTTCAGGCCGAGCATCCCCGTATAGGCCGTTATAGAGAGTACATTCCCCCCCTCCCCGACCCGGCCCTAATTAAATTCTAAAATTTGACCTTAAAATTGTTGATGATGGCGAGGTATCTCTACAGAAAACCATTTCTAGTCTCTGATTGGCCATTGCTCGGCCATTCATTCTGTTATCAGCAAATCAATTAAACCTCACGGATCAGTCTTCAAAAAAGTAAGTCACCAGTACAGAAGGAGTCATTAACGGAACTAGGTAATGCGAATTTAGAGCAAATGAACTGGTCGCAGAATAAACTAAATATCACAATAACAACCTAAAACGTCTAAAACTGTAGACAAACTCGAAGGAAACACAGAAAAAATAAAAAAATAAAAAGAGGCATGGATAGACAAAATTGGAGACGATTAAAACGGATTGCAAGAGAGTGAAATTGCAAAACAGTGACCCAAGGTTTCTCAAATTTACCTCAGCTTTTAAGGAAGTGCGATTATAAATTATCATTCTGTTTACCGGTGAGCTCGATTTTTATTGCATTGTAAACTCTAAAATAACATTTAAGTGTTCACGTACCTAACCGTAATGAAGATAGCCACGACTCGAACTCGTCAACGTCATAAGCGGATAAATAAAGAGTTCGTGTGTTAGAATTGTCCTTCTTAGTGCGGCAGTGATATGTTACCTGAAAAGAGAAACGGAGTCTTTCGAGAACGGTTACGTAATTCATGTGCACAAATGATGGATGAAATGTTTTAGTGTGGACGGGGAAAGCGCTGTGAAAACGATAGTGTGGACGCGAAGTTTTTCGTACGTTTTCTATACGAAAACGCATCATTGAAAATGCATCCTTTGGAAAACGCATTGTTGTGGTGGGACCTCAAACGCTTATGGCAAGCTGATTAGTTTCTTAATTTTTTATTAATAAATGGTGGTCACCCAGCTAGTCCAGCTTCACTGGGTGACCAGCTACTGAAGGGCTTTTAATTAATATTGTATAATTAATTGCTCTGCTTTAGTTTACAGTACATATAAACCTTGTTGTTGTTGTTGACGTGTCGAAGGGTCAGTTATTATTATTTTTTTGGCGTGGGAAGTGGGGGAAGGGGACTTGGGGGAGCTGGAGGAGCTTGGTTAGGGCAGCAATGAGAGTGTTCGCCTTATACCAAGTGGGCCGGGTTCGAATCCTGTACTCGGCGTCATAAGTGGGTTGAGCTTGTTGCTGGTTCTCGTTCCTGCATCATGGTTTTTTTTTTTAAATCAAATTATGTGCTATACAGGAACTTAAACAAAACAATTACGTTGCATTCAGACCCTGTGTTATTTCNTTAGAACAAATTGCGAGGAAAAAGTCGCGATAGGAGAGCAACTAACCGTAAAGAGCTCCTTTACTGTACACATGCAGGCAAACTGTGGCTACATGATAATAACCTGCGCTGAGTAAAGATAATGGCTATTTTTTTTTAACTTTTTTTTTTTTTTTTTCGGATCTTCCTTTGTTTCTACCTTCACAAATCTGGAAACAGTCGACGAATAATCACTCCGAGGGCTTGTTACTGCTAAATGCCAAATATCTTATTATCAGTATTTTATTTTCGCGATGGTAGGTTTGTGTTGCAGGAACATCATTGTTTGGTTGTTCAGTTTTGGATAGCTTCAGGCAAGAGACGAGGCGTCTATTGCTTCAGGTGGAGTAAAGGGAATCGAAGAAATGCAAAGACAAAAAAAAGAAAAAAAGAGAAGAATTTAAAACCAAACCTGAAAACATAGCGCCTGGCTAAATGCGTCGTCATCCACTTCTTCCACAGATTGGATATTAAACAGTTCGATGAAAAATTCCGGCTTTTCTCCTTTTGTCTGTGTAAATATGAAAAAACCTTACAGTAAATGGTAAAACAACAACAACAACAACAACAAAACAGCAACAATTGAAAAAAACAACAATAAACTAAAATAAACTATAAACTCATGTGGACTTTCTCGAGTTTGAATTTCTCTCTATCCTCCCTCCCCTCCCTCCAGACCCCAAAGGCTAAAAAAACGAACCCTTTATAAGAAACTGCATTTCAGGAACAAATCGGCAAAAGACCCAGACCTAGGACAAATAGTTAAAGGCAACTTAATTTATGTCGAATATTTGCTTTGCATCATCGTTGGCCTTTCTGATATCGATTTTTGACACTCGTGAAAAACCATTGGATGAGAGACTTGAACCTAGTCTAGTCGGACGGAATCTCTCCCCAGGCTCTCGCGCTAATTTCTTTTACAAACGGTGTAATCCTCTTGTTTATTCGCACCTAATTAGGCATTAACGCATAGAAAATCTCTTGACTTTGCAAGCGAACACATTATGTCTCAAGATAATCATAGATTTGTAGACGTGAACACTTCGTTGATAACTGACTGCTGTGAAAATTTAGACTGGATACAGAGATCGAACAAAATCACAATTAAATTTTACCATCTTTCAGATGCAGCCTTGGCGAACACAGCCTTTTTATCCTCTAACTGTAAAGCAATTTATCTCTTAGGCAACGCTTGCTTAGTTTGATTGACAATGAACTCCTACACCGGCTAGGGACCAGTCTGAGCGAACATGATCAATAAATTTACTGAACAGAATCACTTCGTAAGCAGACTGTCAACAGCCGAGATTTTTACAGCTTCAAGAGTTGACTTTACATTTCATGTTGCCATATGTGTAACATGGTTGAATTCATACCTAAATTTTCGGTAGTTGTTATGAATGAGTGCTTTCCGGTATCAAAACCCTTCGGCAATCATTTTTTACAATTTGTTCATGGTGATATCATGAGTATGAGGCCTATTCGATTCCTTTTTTTAAATCATTTTCCGTTATATTTTACGAAGCATGGAACATAGCCAGTTACAACGGACATAATATTTCTCAAGTAGGCACATGAGTAAAGTTCACTGAATTGCTTCGCTAACTATTATTCGCTGTTTGATCGGCAAACAAGCACATCTGCGAGGTTCACACAAATGGTCTCTCTCCAGGGACTAACTGAAGCTTACTGATCAGCTCACAGCAAACTATAGTACATTACTACAAGCCAGACATTTTATAAATACTGCTGTAAAAGGCTTACCCACTGTGTTGAGCTGTGGTAATACTCAAACAAACCGTCGGTCAAAACTCCAAAAACACCCTCGAACAATGACTTGGCTAGGAAGCTTCGTCTCTTTGTTTTTCTCACCAGAATATTACCGCAGAACTTCGCTGTTTCCTTCTTAGATTCCATTAGATTAGAAAGATTTGTCGCCACCGTAAATTACTTGAGCAAACTCATTCCGCGCCACTTTGCATATTGGAAATAACGAGTCCTGTTTGTTTTGCGAGTTTGTGTGCCACTGCAAATTCCTTCACCTCTGGAGTTTTCCGCGACGCAATGAAACAGCAAAATTGGAAGATAAAGAAGGGAACAAGATACTGTTAATAATTTCAGTTTAAAATTCGCTCGTAGTCTCCCACCAGTTTATAGCATTCAACTTTCAGTACGTGTCTTGTCGCTAATAGCGTGCCCACATTAGATCGGATATTGCCTCTAATTTATTAGATATACGTTTTTCCACTCTCAGTAAATTGACACATGCCATGCAGTTCAGTTTGTTTTAGGAACAGCAATTTTACGCTGAAAGGAAGAATCTGTCTAAAGACGTTGGAGTGTGTGTACACTGTACATATCTCTGTAGTCACGGTTAACGTTCCCACACTAAGGCCTGGTCCACACCACGCAAGAGAAATTTGAAAACGCAGCTTTACTTCTACCGTTAGACCTGCCGTCCACACTAATCCATCTAAAAAATGGAGCTTTTCAAAAACGCTCTTCACTGGCCGGACGAATTTGAAAATGCTGGCTTTTTGTTTTCGTGTGGACGAAAAACATTTTGAAAAGGGATCTTTTTTGAGAGCGATGGCGTCACGAAAATCATGTGATTTCCCTGAATAAGTTCTCCTCAAACACAAATCCAAAATGACGGGTGATTGTTCCGCGTCTTCAAATTCCTTCGGCGTAGTATGGACGGAAAACATTTGATGCTTTCTTAGAGTGAAATCTCCGTTTTCAGGGCTTGTGACTCGCCATTTTGAAAATCGTCGAGGAGAAGGCCATGGGGACGAGGTTGCGACCAAGACAAAACGGCTTGTATTTTTAGATTCTCTTGTATTTTTAGACTCGGGGGCGTGAGTAACGAGCCCTGAAGCTACAAAGAGGGGGTTATTACCACGCTGGTGCAGTTCAATTTAACTTTAATTTTACTTATTTTTGCTGAGCCTTGTTCTCTGCTTTGTTATGAAGTCTTGGTATTAAAATTTGGGTAAAATGTCCCACTCCTCGTCTAATTTTTGTCCGCCATTTTGTCTCTCCGAGCTCAATTTTGTCGGAGCTGTCAATCATTTTCAATTTCACAGTTTTGCACTCATTCGAAATTGCTCTGATTTGGGATTAATTGACATTTTCTTATCGAAGCAGAATACATATATTGTTGCGTGTCAGGAGCCCATCATTGTTCCAGGCTGTCCGTCGAGCGAGAGAAAAAACGAGGGAGGCCTAAGGCGAGGTTAGTACTTCCTCGTTGTTTCTCTCGGTCGCCCGCCGTTTTTCTCGCTCGTCCCCAACTACTGAGAGCGTGGAACACGCTAGTTAACAAATTGACGTCAGTTTTTCATTCGTCTGTCCTGTTATTAATCATGAATTTCCTTATAACATTGTCAAAGTAGTTGTGGATCCACGTACGAGGCGATAACCGAGCGGATCCGAAGACTACGTTACAATGTTATGGCGAAATTCATTGTCAACAACAGGACAGACGCATTAGAAACTGACATCAATTTGTTTTTTTTACGATAACAAATTGTCCCCTCTCGCTCGTTGACGCATCGCATAAATTATCGCATCGCATAAATTATAAATTCATATGTCTGCGTGCTTATTGACAATAAAAGTTTACCAATGAGCGCGCGGGAATTTCTGCAGTTATCGTAAAATATAATATTGCACATAGAATTGTGAAATTTGGCGTCAAACGTGAGCTGAAGGTTGCCATAGCAATTTGGTATTTTCACTAGGCTAGGTAGGGGTAGGCACTTTTTCGGACTTCGACTGTAATTAAAATTATTTGATTTGACTTTCGCAGACCTCTCCTCAGGGTAGCATTTGAAACTTCTTCATTTTCTCGTAAAAAATAATTTTTATTTCTTTTATCCGTGGAAAAAATAATTTCGGGGAAAATGCCTCTGAAAATGATGCTTAATGCTTTTGCCTCACTAAAATGCTCGAAAAAATGCTAGCATACTGTACAAAAGCCTGAATTTCACATGTGAAAACATTCTGGTGGGTGTGGGGAGGGGTAGGGAGCGGCAAGTCGGGGAGGGTGAGTACTTTATTGTGATTAGCATCGACTAGCATCCGTTGTTCGAAGGTCTCTGCGTGCAACGATCGATGTCTGGGAGAATTCACCGGAGAATTTCGTCGTCAGTGGACGACAGAAGTGCAGAGATAGACCCGTCTTCAAACGTTGCCGATGGAGAAAGCGACACAACAGGTAAAAATTTGAATTTCAAGTTGGATGACCCGAGCTGACCGTTCTTTTGCACGAACACAGCATCAAATCATTAATAAGCTTGGGGACTGAAGAACACGTTTAGCGATGTATGACTTTATCACGAAACAAATAAACTCTGAGCCTCCGCGAATTATACACTTCACAATTGAGTTTACCCCGCGAGCAGTTAAGGCGCCTTTTCATTATAGTATTATGTCGATCACGCTTGTAATTAGTTCAATGGCCACGCTTTCCCGTGAAAACGCCATTTGCCTTCCCACCAATTGTAAAGGATCTGTAAAATTTCAGTTAATCTTACCCGTAGAGACATCTGTGAAACGATTTTCCTGACCAAATTCGTAACCTGAAAAATCGACTGTTTGGAATTTAATCGGCGTGTTAGCATGGTTAGTTTGATTCAACGACAAACTTGTCAAATTGCGCCGTCGACAAGCCATTCTGTCTAATTCTCTTCGACTGGTAGACCATAGCAGGCCAGACACGTTTTCTTACTGTGCTTGTTTTTTTTTTCTTTTTTGTTTTTTTTTTTCATTTCCTTTTCAGATGTTGTTAGAAGTAACAGAAGTGAAGAAGGGAAAAGTAAAAGGAATCTTATTGGTTTCTGGTGAGAGCATTTTTAATATGATTAAAATAATTCTTTAAAGCTGTCACTTATATCAATTCGATGTGCTATATACAACACTTCTAAGAATTTATATTGTTAATGATTAATTTCTGCATTGTTCTTCTTCACCCAATTGATCAAGCTGAATTTTAAAATTGTGGGTTTAGATCTTGTAGAAAGAAAAAAAACTGATGAGCCTGAAGAAAATCCATCTGTAAGAGTAAATTTTCTGTGCAATCCTAGGCTATGATCGAAGTACTCTTGTTTGGGGTTTCTGCAGGTGGCCGCATAAAGTAATAAAGTGGAAAAAAGAAAATTCTGTCCCTCAAGAGATAGTGGTGCCAACTCATTACACTCCAGTAGACCCTTCCGCATGTTCTGACACCATCTAACGGGTTGTGGGGGCGATCCGAGTTCTTGCTCCCTCCTCACACACAAATGTCTAATCTCTGTCATTTTTGTGTACCTTTTTAAACCATGCAGGACAGCACAACCTCATATATTAACCAATAGTCCTCCCCTAGCTTGGGGCCAGTAGCTATCCTCATTGCTCAAGCTGGTGCATTGTACCAGTAGATTTACACCTTTTATCTGAACGGAAGGGAAGTGGTTCCCAAGCTAAGGAAGTACTAATTAGCGATGGTCGATTGCCTTGTTGACCACCCATGTATGCGTAGCAGCATTTAGAGCTGGCCTTTGGGGATACACAGTATAAGATTTTGTTTTGTTTATTAATTGATACTTTTAATATTTTTTTTTTAAAGTAATGGCTTGTAACTCTGTTTATTAAATTTTATTACACCTTGGAGGCTTCTTGGGTTGTGCAACAACTTTGGTTATGTCGTCATGTTAAGTGCTGCTCATGACATCCTTGGGGAAGACAACAGTACCCAGGGACGCCAAGTACGTACGTTTATTATTTCAACTATTATGTGGTTACAAAAATTATCCACATCCCTCCTATGGGGATTTTCAGTTTGAGAACCCCCCCCTCCCCAAGCATCCCTCTAGAAATTCCAGTTTTTGTTCATACACTGTATATTCCATGACAAAATTTGGCTTTTGAGACCTCGACCCTCTCCCTTGAAATTCTTCTATAACCCACCTTGAGGTGGGTGTGGATATATATATCTTATTAGATGTTTTGGTGTGTAGTACTGCTGTATATTTTTACGAGTTGTGCCATATTTTGACGAGCTTGTAGGGCGAGTCAAAATACAAACAACAAGTAAAAATGTACAGCGATACTACACACCAAAAACATCTAATAAGAGATTTATTATCCAACTGCTGTAGTCAATAAATTTATCAATGAAAGAGGGAGAGTGTGACAGTTTTGCATGTGTGCACCGACCTGTATGGCAAACAGGTTTTCTACTGTAAAAATACGGCAAACAGGTTTTCTACTGTATTATATCGCTGTACATTTGAACTGTTATTTGGACGGTATTCACTGCAGTTGGATAATAAGTTCTGTTATTTTCAAATTAGATATTCAATAATACTGTATTAAGTACTTAATATAAATATATCATCAATACCAGATTTTCTAGATAAAATGTCTTTCTGGTGTAGGTACCATATACATGGATTGCTGTCAAGAAATATATAGAGGATATCACGTGGCTGCGCAGAGATACAAAATTTGTCGTTGAGTGTTGAAAAATATTTCACGAGTGGTTGCAGTGAATGAGTGTAACATTTTTCAACATGAGAAGATAAATTTTGTATCTCCAAGCAACCATGTAATTTTCTTTTTATTACATAAAATATTCACAATACATAACAACATTTGTGGCAACTTTCTGATGATTCCGAAGATTTCCAAAGTTTTCCAAAATTTGTCCGTAGGCCAGACCAATTTTTCTGAACATTTTCCTAATATTTCCAACCATTTTCCGAATATTACTGAAGATAACCGAAGATTGGTGAAGACGACCAAAGAAGGTCCGAAGATGTTTTGATCATACACCAACAAATTTAAGTGTAGTTAAAGGGACAAAAAATAATGTCATAAAAAATGATGTCTTTGCATGGGAGGATATAATATCTTCACATGTAAGGATATCATATAGTTTTTATCAATTTGTTGCCACTCGGTACATTATATGCCACTAACTTTTATATAATAATATGTACTATAACATATATATTTACAGAGGTTGCTTTTACAATTAATCGATGGATATTTATATATTAATTAAATAGGTTTTTAGATTGTCAATTTTTTTAAAAGAAATTTGAATTTGAAATTAAAAGTTATTGGTGCCTTTTCTTCCCTACATCTTTTCATTTTTCTCATAGACATCAGATAATTCAAGTTTAACTTTAGAGACTGCTGGATCTTCAAATTTCTCAGGTGGATTGGAGTGTAATCCTCTATCTACCGGGGTATAGTGTGCAATTTATTAATTTCATATTAAAATATTAAGACAAGTTTGATATATGGGATAGCACCAGTGGTAGGGCACTCAATTACTGATCACTGTTTGCACTAATTTTCTGACATGTCATTTTGTCGCGCTGCTTCTGCAGTGATTTACCAGTCCTGAGGTATGTCTGCTTGGAGACAGGCACTGTGAGAATACAAATTAATAGAAGTGCCTTGACCAAAGAAACAATATGTGATGAAAATCAAAACCAGTTGGTTGATGTCCAATGTGATAACTGGCCTCAACACTCCAAAATATCTACATGTACATGTATTTTATAGTTTCTTTTTTTAATATTTATTAATTTTATATACTAGAACATTTTTATTTAATTTAAATTTAATTCCATTTTAATAACCATTATAGTCTAAATGATACAAATTGTTCACTTTCCTAATAGTTTTTTTGTTTATTTTATTTTCAGACTGTTTTATTGGCTGATATTTTACCAACTCTCATTATCAAAATGACAGCTCCATTTTATATGCAAAGAATACCCTATAGGTAAGAAGGTGGCAAAATGATCACCAAAATACAGTCAAACCTTCGGTTGCAACTACCTCTCATAAGCAACCACCTCTCCTTAGTAATCAGTTTTCCAAACTACCAATACATGTAGTTGCCAAGTTACATCACTACAATTTGGAGCCTATATGTTAGTGATCACCTTAAACTGGTGAACTTCCTGCAGCTGGCATCCTAACACAGATGCTCTTTGGGCTCATCAAGCAATCTTCCTCCCCCATGAACGTCTGCCGAAAAAGGGAGGAACCTTGTGACCACCTCTCTGATAAGCAACCACCTCTCCTTGGTGACCAGTTTCCCAAAATACTAAAGTTTCCAAGTGAAATAACCACATTTTGGAACCACCTTAAAAAGTGACCACCTTAAAACTGTTAACTTCCTAACCTCCAGATGCTCTTTGGGCTCATCAAGTAATCTTCCTCCCTTTGATTGTCTGCTGAAAAAGGGAGGAAGATTGCATGACGACTGCCCAAAGAGTGTCTTCTAGGAGGCTATGGCCCTCCAGGCATGGACCTTGGATAAATGGTGAATGATTTCTGGAACAAGGGGCACCAAAGTCACAAAAAGAGGGGTATGGGGCTGTGCTCCCCTAGAAAACGTTGTGTGAAAAGTACCTAAAATCCCCTTTCCTGCCCTTCTAATTCATTTTGGAAAAGCTGACCCCAATACCTCTTAGTCAATACAGTTACTGCATTAACTAAGAGGTAATTGGAGTCAACTTCTCCAGAATGAAGTGAGAGATGTATGTATGTATATCATACCAATCAGATTGGGGCTACAATAAACAACCAATCAAATTGCCTCTTGTTAAGGTTCATCATGTGTGTGAAGATTTCATCCTGATTTTAGAATGACCATTTTTGTTTTTCTACAAACAGATTGATATAGGCATTTTTGTATTGGCCTTATTCTGACATTTCCAATGCTGCATTTACTATGGTTAAGTCCAGGACTTTGAAGATGGGTTTCAAAAGAGTTTGGAATTTGATCCTCAACGGAGGAATCATAGTCTCTGGCACACACTAACAGGCCATCAAGGCTTTGCTTTTGGCATTACATGAAAACTTGTATGGATCTGCACATGGTCTATCTGCTGAATATTTATCAGCTAGTTGATAGGCCATCAGTGGCTTATTGAAAGAGGGTTAACCTCATAGAACAGTAATGTAGTAGGTACATGGTACCTAGTGTTCACTGTGTGTGTTGAGATTATTCTTTTATAGTGTCCTGTTGTGAAATAATCAGGCACTTTGAGAATGCACTGTGTTCAGAAACATTTCATCACCTTAGGGCCTTTTTTTGTGTTTGCAGTAGTACATTCAGTACATGCTATAATTTGTTTGCTTTAAATGTACAGCCATGTACTTAAATTGTACTTTGATTTGTAGTGTACGAATGGCATTATGTGTGATGTTTGCCTTCGCAAGTTTCTTTATTGTGGCATTCTCTCATGCCCTTTGGTTTAGTTTGCTAGGTAAGATTTTAACTTAAAATAATATTATGTATGTGTTCAAAACTGTAAATTATGGAAAATTAATGCTCTTACCTTTGTTCTTACAACTAAGCATTGGAAAATAAGATGGTGATATAACTGCCAGTCTTGAGAAGTATAATAATTTAATGACAATTATTAAAAAGAAATCAGAGCCATTTTACTACGTGTCATTCTCATTCATATGTAGCCTGTACCATACTTCAGATAATTATGTCCTTCAACCATGACAGAATGCAGTTCCAATCATATAAAATGGTATTTTAAAATGTTATTGCTGTATTGGCGTATGCTGTATAACTTGCAGTTGGTTATTAATAATTAATCTCATATTAATCGTGTTAATCTTTCAGGTGTTGTATTTGCAAGTCTAAGTTCAGGATTTGGAGAAATTACACTGCTCAGCTATTCAGCCCATTTTGACAAGTGAGTGAAATCATAGTACCAATGCTGTCTTGTTTAAATCTTGTTGTGACAGAAATGTAATTGATATACTGCACTCATGTACACTGAAGGTAGCCACTGTGCCAGAGGTGGCATTTTATAGTACTGTTTTCTCTAAGACCATTCCATCTCTATTCTAAATTAAACCCTTTTTTACTGAGGTTTTTTAGAAACGATGTTTAAACACTGGTTGGTTGTTCAGGGAGTTTGTAAATCGTGAGCTAGACTAAGAGAATGATTTACATGATTGGATTGGGACATCAACCTTCATGCTTCCATTTCCTTGCTTGGGACACTACCGGTAGTCAATACACATGTAGCTGCTGTGACGTCATGTGAAAACGTTCTATTGATTGAAACTTGGTGAAATCATTGCTACAATTATTTGCTGAAAGCTAACTGAAGTCGGCTATTTTGGATGTGTTTTAGGTTTAACTACGGAGTGAAATAAATAAAATAAAATGTTAAATGTTGAATTTTTATAGTGGTCCATGCACTTAGCTACAACTAGCTAGTTTTCAGGCATATTGCAAATAAACAGTAATAAGCTTCAAGGCTGTTGCCTAAGGAAATTTTTAAGGAGCCCTTTGGGCTCCTAACTTCAAAAGTTAGGAGCCCAAGCCACTTTTTTAGGAGCCCAGAATAAATTTGCCATGGTCAATCCGGGGGGTTGGCCAGACTGGGGAAGACGGGGGAGGGGCGTGGAGTGAATTTGGAAATTTAGGGGAGNGGGGGTCGGAGGCAGAGATTTTCCATGAGACACTAATATGGTCTGTTTTATCAATCAAATTTTTGAAATAAAGTGTTCAACAAAGTAATCAGGTCATCACTGAGAGAGAATACTATTTGTGGTCAAGCAAATTCAATAATTGGTGTATCCATGCAAGTGCTGCAGCTTTTTTTACAAAAATTTATA